ACACCCAAATCTTCTGCTTTCAGGAATTCATTCATCCCCTTAGAATTTCCATTCCATCAGCTTTACAATCAAGGAGGTTCCCATCTGCTCATTTACAGGTAAAGGCTCTCTGGCATTCAGCTCGTCCGCAAGGACTTAGGCTCGTCTCTAAAAACATCCAAATCTTCGGCTTTCAGGACTTCAGCCCGTTTTTAAAGACTCGTTGACTTTCCACTAATGTATAAAGATTATATAAAGACTGCTTGACCTTCAGGTCGTTAATAATGAAATCTCGGTCTTAACCAGTTCCTAGCCAGTATTTGTACTTCAACTCTATAAAAACTCTCGGGCCCTTAGATGTCACTTCACATCGTTTGTAAAAATACTAACACGTACGCTGCTGTTCTAAAAAGACGCTCGTCTATAAAGGCTACCTCACTTCCGTTTGGGATATTAAGACCCACAGACCTTCTGCAAGTTCATAAATACTATCTGGCTTGGAGCTAGTCTTTATATACTCCATGACCTTCCGCTTATCCAAAACCACTCCCTGTGCTTCACTATTTCTATAAATACCTTCAGAATGTCTATGCAGATTGCAAGGCCTTTAAGGGCTCCATTACTTTCATCTTGCCTGTAAGGCAATAATGGACAAAATAGTACGATAGGGTTGATGGCTAAACACGTATTCTCTTTTTTCAGTAATTTTTGATGATGATCTCTCACTCACACTCTTACACATTTACTTTCGATTTAGTTCTGTTCAGCACTGCTGTAAAGTTTAGCAGGCTATCAGCTCATCCATAAACACTCTCTGTTCTTCAGCTGGTCTATGAAGATTGCCTGGCCTCCAGCTTGTCTCAGTTCGTCTAAGGGTAGGACTCTATCCAAATTGTCCATTCAACATGTGAATATGTAAAGACTCCGTGGCCTTCATATGATCATAACGAATCCCCAAGATACTTCCTGGCCTTCAGTTCGCCTACAACTATTCCTTTGAGGACGTATTAAGCTCTTCTAGACGATTGACACCCTGCATCTGGTTCTTTCTCCATCTGGTCTACAACGACTGCTTGCCATTTAGCTGGTCCATAAAGATCCACTTGACATCAAGATATCTGCAAAGACTGTTTGTTTTCTTCAGATTATAATAAGAAAGACTCCCTAAAAGTCATGGATGGGGTCTAGAAGACTCCTCCGTGCAACAGCTAATATGTCTGGTATATAAAAACTTACAGGCCGTCAGTTTGTCTATCAAGACCCCTTGACCTCCAGCATGTCTATAGACATTCTTTTTAAGAAGTTTACAAGAAATCGTAATCAATATTGTATGGAGACTCCCTTAAGCTCTTCTAAAAGCAGACTTCATACAAATCGTCCTTTTTTCAGCAAGTCCAAAAAACCCCAGTTTGTATACAAGTATCCCCTCCTGTCTGCGATTACATTCAGATCCTCTATAAAGTCACTCTTGATGTGTAAATCGCCCATCACCCGGTGTATAAAATCGTTGGTTTATAAATTCGTCCTGCATCCTAACCTATAAAATCGACCTTCAACTCGTTCAGATAGACTCCTTCCATCCCTTGTATGAAAATCAATCAATAATTTAAAATATTGCCTTACAGCAAATTCTTACAGTTTTTAGTGGGTTAATTATTTCAAAAACACAACAACAACAATGATGGACCATGTAAATATTTTCAATATTGCATTGTAAATGTTGCCAAAAAAGAAACGAATGGGTCCATAATATTCTGTTCATCATTCAATTTCTTATCTCATTTCCTTCGACACAGAATAATAATATTGAAATCATTGTTGTTTAAAGATGATGACGACGATGGAGAAGGAGGAGAAGACGAACAACAGGAAGAAGAATCAGCAGTGGCATAATGACAATAACAACAACAAAACATTTATTGGCTCTTTGATAGCAAATGACCTAATTTCAATGTATTTGTATTCGTGTTGTTGTTGCCCCGGTTTTTTCTCTTGGAAAAAGAACAAAAGTTCATACTCCCAAACCAATATTATTTCAGTCCATGTCAAACACCGCACACCCTGCACCCCTTTAGCTGTTCAGTTTGTGTTTTATTATTTAAATATCAATGCCAATTTTATGGAAATGTTAAGAAACCTCATTGAAAATTGGCCAGTTCAATATTTCTCAGAAACTGAAACTGAAGGAATGAACAAAGGAATTGCTGCAAAATGAGAAATGAAGCTGAAATTGCAAATGAATTTTAGATGTGTTCGTTTGGTATTGGAATTTATCTATTCAACTACTATTTTGCCAATACAAAAGTCAATTGAAACTTTTTCCTGAAAACTAAAGGGGGGATAATTAGAAGTAATATAAGAAAAAGTATGGTAGTCAAATACACAGATTATATTTTTTAAAAGAATATTTTTTTCAAGCAGCCAGACATCCAAGGCGTGGATTGTTTAAAGAATATTTTTTCAAGTAGCCAGCCATCCAAGGCGTGGATTTTTTAAAGAATATTTTTTCAAGTAGCCAGCCATCCAAGGCGTGGATTTTTTAAAGAATTTTTTTTTAAGTAGCCAGCCATCCAAGGCGTGGATTTTTTAAACAGAATTTTTTTTAAGTAGCCAGCCATCCAAGGCGTGGATTTTTTAAACGAATATTTTTTTAAGTAGCCAGCCATCCAAGACGTGGATTTTTTAAACGAATATTTTTTCAAGTAGCCAGCCATCCAAGGCGTGGATTTTTTAAAGAATATTTTTTTCAAGTAGAGCAGAAGGCGTGGATTTTTTAAAGAATATTTTTTTCAAGTAGAGCAGAAGGCGTGGATTTTTTAAAGAATATTTTTTCAAGTAGAGCAGAAGGCGTGGATTTTTTAAAGAATATTTTTTCAAGTAGCCAGCCATCCAAGGCGTGGATTTTTGAAAGAATATTTTTTCAAGTAGAACAGAAGTCGTGGATTAAAAAAAAAATTCAAGTAGAGCAGAAGGCGTGGATTTAAAAAGAAAATCAAGTAGAGCAGAAGGCGTGGATTTAAAAAAAAATCAAGTAGGGCAGAAGTCGTGGATTTAAAAAAAAAATCAAGTAGAGCAGAAAACGTGGATTTTTAAAAACATGTCAAGTAGAGCAGAAAACGTGGATTAAAAAAAAAATTCAAGTGGTCCATAAGACGTGAATTTTTTAAAGATGTTATTCAAGTGGTCCAAAAGACGTGGATTTTTTAAAGGTTTTTTTTCATCGCATGGATTTTTATACCCTACACAACTATGTTGTCAGGGTATAATAGCTTTCTGCTGCCCTAAAAGTTTGTAACGCAGCGAAATATTGTTCCTAGACCCAGCTATAAGTATACCGATCGTCATATCTCGACTAGCTGAGTCGATCTAGACATGTGTGTCCGTCCTTCCGTCCGTCTGTCCATTATAATTTGTAAACGCGATACAGGCCACAGTTATCGACCAATCTTCACGAAATTTTGCATGTAGGATGGGTTCTGACCAATGAAGACCCCTATTGTTTTTGGGAAAGATCGGTTAATATTTAAGGGATGAAGTGGACCCAATACTTAATTTTTGTCGGTGTTTCTGGTCGCTCCAGAGGCCGCAATAATGGCCCGAACATCGTGAAATTTTGTATGGAAAAAATATTTAGCGGGTCAAAAGGACCCTGACCTTTGTGTGAAAAATGACAAAGTTTTTTTCTATAGAGTATATATATACTCCTGAAGGACATAGACCAGAGAAGTTGATATTATATCCAAAAGGAGTGGTTGACTTTTAAATTGATACCAATCGTATTGATGTATGTGCTCGGATGTGGGAGTTACACCTAAATAATTCTAGGTTTCTCGGTATTTGTATATTATTTAGTAACCCATTATCACTCTAGAGAGCGGAACTATAGCGCAGATCGCTTTGAAATGTTCCATGAGGTTCCAGTTATGGTCAAGGACAAAGCCTATAATTTTCGGGGATGATCAGATAATAATTTTTGAATGAAGTGGGCCGAAAACTTAATGTTTTGTGTTATTTTCGAGTCGATTTATAGATCACAAATGAAAGCCGAACATCACAACACAACCCACGGGGAAGGGAATCTGGACAAAAGCTGTACTGAATACTTGTAATATTCGGAAAATATGTCAGAGTGAGGAAGAGGTGCTGTTTAACTCTAATCGGGCAAGAGGGTCAAATATCACGAAATATTGCCCAGACCCGGAATAAACATCCGCAGAAAATTTGAGTTCCGTGGTGTAGGGTATCGTATGGTCGGCCCCGTCCCCGTCACTGGTTTAAACAAATATTTTTTCAAGTCCAATATCCCTATCTGTGACTCAAATTCCTTCACACTTTTTTATTGTTTTCAATTTCAAATAATTGGCATACATTCAATTCAATCGCTCAACTGGCCATAACTCGTACATTGGAATTTTTAATTGTTTTAGAGTTTTGTTTTTATATTTCCCTTGATGAATATTTTCCATTCTCTCGGGTCGTTAAAATGGTTCACACATCTCATTCAACGTTTTTGTTTTTCATTGTTGCTTTAATTGCCAACTATCTTCTACGGTCCAAAAACACTTATTTTCCTCGTACCCCACTCATTCATTCACTCCCTCCCTCCATTCATCTCGGCTTCCTCACATGACACGTATTTGGCATTATGTCAAACCCTGAAAGGATGAAACTCAATATCCACTCAACCAAAGTCCTTTAAATCAATTGCTTGGGCCATTGTCACTGCCCGACATATCGCCTGGCAGTCAGTTCCTGTTGGCATTTATCAACAGGGTTTTGTTGGCTTTGTTCCTGCAAAAGCAACACCAGAACGGCCAGCAATTAAATGAATTGAAATCGAAACTAACCCAAAAGCAAGTCATTGAACTTTTGCCAATTGTTTTGTCGTTTTGCTGCTGTTGTTTGTATTAATTTGTAACTCGTTGTATCCGTTTCCGTTTGCTCGGTATATATCTGAGATTGTGTGTGTGTGTGTGAAAGTGCCTTTGTATTCATGTGTCACTTTGTTTGTTTCGTTTTAGGTCATTTGGGTGTGCATATTGTGCCGTAAAAAACAGGAGTTACTCTCCAAGACAGGCCAATGGATCAATAAGGCCACCATACAACAGGATGGCTTTATACGTCGCAATGAACCGGATGGCAGCAGTGTAAGTACAACAAAAATGCTACAAATGTATGTTTCACAACTTTTTGAGAAAAAAAAATCGAAACCAATAGCGAACACTAATTTATGCAACATCCTTTTTTTGTTTCTGTCTCTTGCTTTTTCTGGTAATTTCCATTGTTTTAGGATATTTCCCAACAGGCTGTGGTTGATCCTCACGATACGCTCGATAAACGACCAAAACTGGAGCGTACCCGTAGCGCTGCCGAAAAGGAAAATCTACCCTTGCAACGTTCGGGTAGCATGCTGAAACGACAATATTCACAACAGGAACAAACAACGAATCAAAGGGATATGATGGGACCCCAAATGGGCATGGATATTATGAGTCCGGGCCAAAGGCAGCGTATGCAACCGATGACACCACAGCAAATGCAACAACAACAGCAGCAGCAACAACAAATGTCACAACAGGGCCAATATAGAGGACAACAAAGTCATTATGGTGGAACGGGTGCTAGCAGTGGTCATCATCAAAAGGAAGAGGATCCGAGATTATATCAGGTGAGACTTTTTTTGTACCCTTGACCACACTGTGGTACATTATGTCTTTGTGCACATGTTTGTAACAGGCAAAAGGAATCGCGATAGACCCATGGTTCCTTTTGAGAATATGCATAGAATCACTTTCTGAGTCGATTTATGCATGTCCGTCCGTCCGTCTGTCCGTCCGTACGTACGTCTGTAGATGTTAAATTGTAAATAAAGTACAGGACGCATTTATAATCCGATTTGGCTGAAATTTGGTACAGCTCATTTATTTGGCCCAAGGACGAGCCCTATTGAAATTGGGAAAAATCTGTTCAGATTTAGATATAGCTCCCATATATATTTTTGTCCGATTTAGGGACTTTAGTCCCCGCAAATCAGTCGATTTGGACGAATTTTTTGCATAGCGTACTGAATTAATTCTAAAATGATATGTGCTAAGTTTTGTGAAAATCGGTTCAGATTTAGATATAGCTCCCATATATAGTTTCGCCCGATTTTTGGTAAATGGTGCACCAAAGTTCCTGAAAATCTTTCGATTTGTACGAATTGTGGCACAGCGTACTGAATTAAATCCAGAAAGACGTGTGCTTAGTTTTGTGAAAATCGGATCAAATTTAGATATAGCTCCCATATATAGCTTCGTCCGATTTTTGATAAATTATGCACCAAAATCCCTCAAAATCATTCAATGTGCACGAATTTTGGCATATCGTACTGAGTTTAGTCTAGAATGATGTGTGCTAAGTTTCGTGAAAATCGGTTCAGATTTAGATATAGCTCCCATATATATTTTCGTCCGATTTAAGGTAAATGGTGCACCAAAGTCCCTATAAATCTTCCGATTTGCACGAAATTTGCCATAACGTACTAAATTGAGTATAGCATGATGTGCGCTACGTTTCGTGAAAATCGGTTCAGATTTAGATATAGCTCCCATATATATTTTCGTCCGATTTAAGGTAAATGGTGCACCAAAGTCCCTATAAATCTTTCGATTTGCACGAAATTTGGCACATCGTACTTAATTCAGCCTAGACTGATGTGTGTTAAGTTTCGTGAAAATTGGTTCAGTTATAGCTCCCATATATATTTTCGTCCGATTTAATGTTTAATGTTTTCAGGGAGAAATTGATGGTCTCATGAAACAGCATCCGCACTTGGCACATCCCAGTCAACGACAACAACAACAGTACCAATATCAGCAGCAGCAGCAACAACAACATCAGCAGCAGCAACAACAATATCGTATGCAACAGCAATCACAACAACAAATGCGTGGACAGCATCAACAACAACAAGGCCCAACAAATACTTCCTCCGTTACCTATGCAACACTACAACATCCACAACAAAGGCTTCCAACATCGTCATCATCAGCAGCACAACAACAACAGCATCATCACCAGCAGCAACAACAACAACATCATCCAACGCATCCTCACCACTATGGTGGTGTTGGCGGATCATCACAACTCTCTGCCGCTGGTCAACATGCTCATCAAATGCCAACACCGGCCACATCCGGTGCCATTTCCTCCTCTAACGCCGCCGCCCTTGCCTCCGTCTCGACCTCTGCAACATCCTCTCAGGGTTATCAAAAGCCTCCGCCAATACAACGTAATCTAACCATAAGCGGTGGACATGCCATGGATCCATCGACATACAATGCTCGCCGTCACCTAAACGTTAGTCAGTATGCCACACAGCAGCAGCGAAGTTTTAGCAGCTATGAAGATGAAATTCAACAGCAACAACAACACTCGCAATATACAACAACAGCAGCATCTGCAGGAATGCATTCAACAACAGCGGGTGGTCTATCATCCTATGACTTGGAAGGTAAGTTCGATCGTTGTACCAATCTCTCTGTAGGAGTTGAATTGTATTCTTTGTCTCGATTAACCCTCTGTCCACCCAAAAAAATATACCAAAACAAAAGAACACCTTTATCCAAATTGTTTATTTTAGTTTCCTTTGATTTTTGATTTGTTTTTCCGTTATTTGCTCTCAAAAAGTGTGTATGCATACTCTCTCTTTCTCTGTCTTTCGAATATGAGCTAACTCTCTTTCTCTTTTTTACATATATGGCTAATTAATTGTATTAACGAACAAAAAAATGAAATGATCCTTGAAAAACACCCGTTATTTTTTTGTTTTATATTACTTTTTATTTTTTGGAAGAGAGTGTGAAATTCTCTCTCTTATGTTTAATTTCTCTTCATACTCCTGAACATATATACCAATTGAATACCTTATGAAGTCATACCTTTCCAAAGGAGTTATTTTTTTTTAATTAAAAAAAACATAACTAACTATAACTTAACGTAATCTATTAACATATTTGTTGGAAATTTTATAAATACTAAAAAAATACTAATTACTATATGAGACTGATTTAAGTTAAATTTAAGATTTTGTAGGATTTTAATTTTTTTTACCACCTTTCTATTTTATATTTTTACATTTTAATTTATTGGTAAATATAAGTACTTATATAACTATTTTTATAATATTTTATTTAGACAAACATAATTAAATAAGGTTTATTAAACTAACATTTATATATAAGTCTAGATAATAGTTTAAAGTAATCATATATTTTTCATTCGGGATATAAAAAAAATATATAAATTTTTAAGTTTTACTGGCATTGGGTAATGAACGTGAAGAACATGGTATTGGGTATACAAAAAATGAACAACTTTTGTATAAAATTATATAAAAATATTAAAATCTAACAAATTTTAGAAGGAAAAGGAAAGCTTTGTAAAAATATGTGTAAAATCGTCTTTAAGTTCTGCCGGGCCGAACTATTTATACCTTCAAGCATGAGGAGGCATTAAGAATACCTAAAAGCCATCGTGACTTTTATAATAGTACTATGGAAACTAGGAAACTAAAACCTTCAAAGTACCAAAAATGGTGTGGGTCATTATATGAGGGATATGTCGAAATATGGCCCTTTATTAATAAGTTTCTACATATGTGTGTAAGCTTCCGAAAACCCACAATGCCAAATTACAGGCACTTCGGTGAGACAATGCTGCTAAAATACTCATAACACTGAAAATTGCACAAGTTCTTTATATGGATACCAAACCAAAACATGGATAATGCAAAGATGTTTTTCATCTCTCAAGAAATACGAATACCAAATCAAAAAAAAAAAAAATTGAAACAATTAAAAAAACCAGTAAGGAAAGCAGTAAAGTCGGGCTGGGCCGACTATATGATACCCTTCACCACTTTGGGTATATTGTACATATGTATCCCTTCCAAGGAGCATACGCAATTATTTCTACAACCTATGATAAATTTAATTTCATTCGGGCAGATTTAAAGTCGACTTCGTACCATGGGACAAATTTATGAAAAACGACTTATAGCAAAATTAACACATGCTATTCGCTCGCCGCACTGTTAAAATTTTAATTTCATTTAGACATCCATTCAAAATACATATGGAAGCTATGACAGCATCTACATCAATTTCAACATAACGCAATAACGTTATTCAAGTTCCAACTTGATACGTTGTGCAAAAACTCGTGTTAATCGGACAAACATTAGAAGGTTGGTGCACCATTTATGTAAAATCGGACTAATATATATGTATATGTGGCAGCTATATCGAAACCTGAACCAATTTTTCCGAAACTTAGCACACATCATTCAAGGCTTGATTCAGTACGCTGTGCCAAATTTCATGCAAATCGAAGGGATATAGGAACTTCTGTGAACCATTTACATAGAATCGGAAAAAAACTATATATGGGGGCTATATCTAAATTTGAACCGATTTTCGAAAGGTATATAGGAACATTGGTGCACCATTTACATAGAATCGGAAAAAACTATATATGGGAGCTATATCTAAATCAGAACCGATTTCATGCAAATCGAAAGATATATAGGGACTTTGGTGCACCATTTACCTTAAAAAGGACGAAACTATATATAAGGAGCTATATCTAAATCAGAACCGATTTTTTCGAATCTTGGCACACATCATTCTGGACCTAATTCAGTACGCTGTGCAAAATTTCATGCAAACCAAAAGGTATATAGGAACTTTGGTGCACCATTTTCATAGAATCGGAAAAAATATATATGGGAGCTATATCTAACTCTGAACCGATTTTCTTGGCACACATCATTCTGGACCTAATGCAGTACTCTATGCCAAATTTCGTGCAAATCGAAAGATATATAGGGGCTTTGGTGCACCATTTCACCTTATATAGGGACTTTGGTGCACCAAAAGGACGAAACTATATATGGGAGCTATATCTAAATCTGAACCGATTTTCTCGAAACTTGACACCCATCATTCTGCACCTAATTCAGTACTCCATGCCGAATTTCATGCAAATCGAAGGATATGGAAGGACTTTGGTGCCGCATTTACCTTAAATCGGACGAAAATATATATGGGAGCTATATCTAAATCCGAACCGATTTTTCCCAATTTCAATAGGGTTCGTCCTTGGGCCAAATAAGTGACTTGTGCCAAATTTCATCCAAATCGAATCATAAATGCGACCTGTACTTTGATAACAATTTAACATGGACAGACAGACGGACGGACGGACAGACATGCATAAATCGACTCAGAAAGTGATTCTATGCATATTCTCAAAAGGAACCATGTGTCTATCTCGTTTCCTTTTGCTTGTTACAAACATATGCACAAAGACATAATACCCTGTACCACTGTGTGGTGAAGGGTATAAGAATGGGTGGAATCTTTATACGGAGACTATGTCAAAACTTGGATCTATATAGAAACATTTGAAAATATGTTTTGCATCCTCCAAGATGAGTAATTCAATATAATGAAAAAACATGAACCTATATCGAACATTTTCTATAAATATATTTTTACCCACTGTAATGAGAAAATGCGTCTAAGCCCTTCAATATACGAAAATTGGGAAATACCATTATATGCGGAATATAGCAAGAAAAAATTTTCTGCGACCATTTATTTAACCTCAAAGAACCTGTAATTATTAACGAGCCCGAAACGCTTGGACGCCTTCGTGTTCTATTATGAATGGTTCCTAAAGAGTAGATTCCAACATGACGAGGAGTTACGGACACTCCGAATTACGGACTTAAGGGACTCCGAGTAGGCTGTTTTGAACTTACTTACGTATTTGGCGAGATGTTGTATTCTAATTGGTCTTTCCATCTAATTCGTGGCCTTCCCCTTCTGCGTGAAGGCTCGCTTTTATATGCCTTTTGAGCTGGGGCATTCTCATCGTAGTCGTTGAAGCTCAATACGACTGATTATGTTGATGTCCGCAAGTAACATATGCTGTTTGGTGTACAGTGTGCCATTTCTTTTCACCTTTTCGTCTCTTACGACCTTTTCAAGCAGGATGTTAAAAGGATCACAAGACAAACTGTCACCTTGTATGAATGCTCGTGCGGTATTGGAGGGCTCCGATAGGTCCTTTCAGACGTTAACTACTGACCTTGTGCCACTTAAAGTTTTCCTGCATAGCCTATTAATTTTGTAGGAATGCCGAAATCAGACATGGCTTTAAACACCTCTGAACGAATAGGGCTGCTTTATTGTTCTTCAGCCGATTAATTGATATTCTGATATCATCTGTACCGTCATCTCTTATTGGTTCTGGGGTGTCTTCTTCACCGCCACTATTTGATACCAAAAGCTTTTCAAAATGCTCCTTCCAGATCCTCACCACGCTGTCTGTATTTGTCACCAGGTTTCCTTCACCATCTCTACAGGAAGATGTGTCTGACTCCTGTAAATCTCAATTTGCTCACGATCACGTTTTTTTGTTGTTCTTTCTTCTTTTTTTTTTTTTTTTTTTGAAAACACGTTTCTCTTCTCTCCTTTTCTCCCGATAATTCTCCATCACATCACGTGCTGCTATTGTCTGCAGGGTTGCCCTATACGCTGCGTTTTTCACATCGGTAGAATTACAACACTCCTGATCGTACCATGGGTTTCTTGATGGTGGTTTTTGGTACCCAAGTGTTGCCTTTGCTGCAATTTGTAGGGAGTGGGCAATTTTTTGCCATTGCGCTTCTATTATCGGGACAAGAAGTGCTTTCGTCAAGCAGGTGGGTAAGTTGAGCAGAGTAGGCTTCTGCTACCTGTCATGTTTGTAGCAATTCGACGTAGAGTTTCCGTATTGTGTTAGATCGCACCTTTGCTGCTACATAAAGACGAGTGCGAACCTTGGCTGCTACAAGGCAGTGATCCGAATTGATGATATTCGCTCCTCGGATCGATCGAACGTCTATACACTGGATGAATACCTTTCGTCTATCACAATATGGTCAATTCGATTTCTCGTTGCTTGATCAGGAGAAATCCAGGTGACCTTGTGTATATAGAGGTGCTTGCATCTGGTGCTGCTAACTACCATGTTTTTGCTGCCGCGAAGTTAATCAACCTCATGCAGTTGTCGGATGTGTCTTCGTGGAGGCTTAATTTTCTAGGCGCTCGTGAATATTATTAAGGATTATATCAATTCGCTCTTCTACTGGAGTGAATCTGGAGACGAGATCTTTTATTCTCCTGTTAACCATAAATCCGCAGCCAAATTCAGGTCTCGTTTCATGGTAGCGATAACACAGGGCGTAATCATCTGATTTTCTTACGCCAGTCCCATTCCATCGCATTTTCTGTAAGACAATAATATCGGTTTTGTACTTCTTGAGTACATCCGCCAAAGCGAAAACTGAGCCTGTTCTGTACAACGTGCGCTCATTCCAAGTGCAGATTCGCAGATTGTGGTTCTTTATAAGTTTCGCGGGGGTCGTCACCACTAGAGGGGGGGGGGGGGGGGGGTCGTTTCTTT